ACAGGGACATGTATCAGGCTAATTGCTGTGACGCGAGCTGGCGAGGCAACGGGGAAGGACATGCAATTATGTGGCTCTGCAATAGACGACAATACAGGTTAAGTGAATTGCATATAGTTACTTTTTTGTTTTAGGCGGAGTTTGTTGGTTCAATTGGATGGTAAGTACCCTACATAGGCTCAGGTTACTTGTAGCCTATCTCTGTAGTAGTAGACTGACGTGGACATACTGGTTCTTGACTTTACGAATTTACTCTAAAATCTGCGGTCTAAAATTATGGCAATAATTGCATAATTCTTCTTTGACCGCAGGGTTGTCTGAGCATTGCAAAGAAAGCGAGTCCTGGCTGGATGCTGAGAGTGCTGAGTTCATGATTCTCCAGTCTCCACTGTGTAATCACACGAACCGAATCTCTGAAAAAGATTCTAACAATCGTCTGCCCTCTGCTGCTGAGTGTAAGGATAACTCTCACGACGCCATTCTGTCAGCATTGGGATTGCAATAGAGCAGACCGAGGTAAATTGTCACAAAGAATATATAAATAGCTATATTTCAGCAACTATAACGATTTGAGTCAAAAGTGCTATAGTGATGTTTTCTCAAGCAGCGGTTTTGTTGTGGTTTTGCAAAGACCCAATTCAAACCACTTGCAGTATTTTTTAAAAGAAATCTTTATTCCAGACTGAATCCAGTATGATAAAACAAGTCACATTTCTGTGAGGCCGAGTTGTCACATTTGTTTGAATGTTCGAAACTGAAACAATTACAATACTTATTAGCCAAAACAAATTATCTGAAATATTTTAATATTTTTTGTGACCCTGGACCACAAAAGCAGTCATAAGGGTCAATTTTTTTAAATTGAGATTTATAAGATTTATAAATAAGCCTCCATTGATGTAGGGGAGCGTGGGGCACAAAGTAACGCGGGGTAAGTTGTACACTCTAAAAAATGCTGGGTTAAATATAACCCAGCGCTGGGTTAAAAAGGGACAAACCCAGCTATTGGTTCAAATGTATGGTTTATAGTTCAAAACACCCCAACCGCTAGGTCAAAACAACCCAATAGCTGGGTTTGTCCCTTTTTGACCCAGCGCTGGGTTATATTTAACCCAGCATTTTTTAGAGTGTA